TATTGTACTGCGTACGAATAATGCACGGTGTTTTATTTAATTATATGCTGTAACCCAGTGCAGTATTTCTGAACAGCTATATATTTGCTTATTCACCTACCCGTCAATATATACGTGGAAACTATTAATCTAGTGATCATCACAGCACTTGTGGTCATAAATCTTTTGCTGTATTCGCTGTTTACCGCACCCTTCGCCATACACAAACACTTATTTAATTTAAGTGCGGTTTCTAGAACTCTCTACAGTAAACCCACCCTCCGCCACACATGGTACCACGGTAACCTGTTATGTCTGTCGCCTTCGAGGTGCTCTTTCTTTTGTTGCTGTTGTTGCTTTTAAAATTTTATTTCGCGTGGCCGCCGCAGCGGACGCGAAAAGAAAAAAAACCCGGCTCTCGATTCCACGTATTCGAGACAAATTCCGCGTACACAAAGAGCGTAGGCCCTTATATAATGCTATACTGTATTTATGGTTATGCTACGACTGGCCTGACTCCAGCTGGCACCGAATAATTGTTTGTGCATTGACTGACGGTAGCCAGCGAATCCAGACAAGTCGAGTGTTGATTGTGGAATCCTGGTGAGCCCTCCACTCTTCCTGCGACAAAACAGCCCAGGGGCTGTCAGCCGGTATCGACTCCCTCCCGACTTCGACTTGTCCCATTTAAAACCGAAAGCATCTCGCGATCCCTGCGCCGGCAACGAGTGCGCTGGTGATTAGCGGGCCCCGTCCATAATGATGCCCTCAAGAGAGAATTGCTTATTTATATATAATAGGCGACGTTTCGGACCACGGCTCTTCTTTAGAGCGGAGAGAGAAAACGTAGCCAAACTAAAACATAAAACTCGTGCGCTATTAAAAGGCCCGTTGCCTGAAACGTCGCCTCCACAAAATGACGAACGTGTTGCGTTTTTTATTCACACTCAACCGACCGCCAAGAGAGGAAGCGCGCTTAGAAACCACGCAATGACTGACCCAAAACAGCTTACAAAGGCTGGCAGGGCAAGTGCTGTTAGCAAGCGCCTATTAAGGTGGGTACAGCAGCACACGAGGGGGTGGTGTGGGTCCAGTATCGTGGCTGACCACCTTTGTCTCCCCAGTGGTGATGTTTACGCATCACGGCAGCTACTCAATTAAGGACGAGAAACCCTGTAGGAGCGACCCAGGACGATTTCTGAAACAGCTTGCCACGACGCTAGCCGTGAATGAAACTAAATCAGGTCACAGGGGTTCACAGCACACGTGGGCGCGCGCACACAGATTCCCCGATTAGGCCACAATATCTGTTGGCGAGAACCGATTAAGGCTGGCACAATGCGCACGGTTCAGGGTGGTACAGCCAGCGCCACCCGGTTCCAACCGTCTCTGTATAAACAACGCAGACTTTAGGCTGAGTCTACCTAGGGGAGGCCCAGGACCGGTTCAGATAACTGTACGACTGGTGTTTCTCCGTGAGCGGGAATCGAACTCGGGTTTCCAGGTTGGTGGCGCAGCGCGCTAACCGCTACACCTCCGCTTCCCTAGGTGGTGCGTCACGCACGCACACACTCACGCACACACTCGCGCGTGTCCATCACATCAGCATTTCTGATTAACGGAGCCGTGTCTCTGCTTTCTGTGCAAAAAATAAATACCGTTATGTAAAATAAAAATGGGATATTTGTAGTCTATCCTCCCCCCACCCCACCTCACCTTTCACCCCCACGTTTCGTCATTGCAATATACATCACGGGCGGATTATTGCAACTTGTGACAAAGTGACTGCGTCCTTAATCAATATAATATAACGGCCATAAATATCCATTTGTATGATTCTTGTGAGCAGGTGCATATTTTTGTAGCGAAGTCAATATATCCATATTTTTTACACACCCTGCACATTTTACCAAATAACCATGACTTGAATAAACACTACTTGTGCAGATAATCAGAGATCTGGGAACGTAAGTGCCACGAATTTTGCTATTTACTTTAAACCCGAGATCAATTTAACTGACCACTACAGACACGTGGCTCGTAAACCAATGTTTAGTTCTCAGAGCTGGAATGTGCCCACAATAACGTGTGACATTTGTTTTTAAATTATTGTTTTCAATAGAATCATTAGTGAAGAGGTTGGAACCTTACTAACATGCCTGGGGTTCAAAGCCAGGATCTGAGTGGTGCCACTCTGCCCTCTGAGCCATCGGGCCTCCTTTAAAATAAAAATAGAGGTATCTTAATAAAACAATGCGCAGAACTCTCCATGAATTATTGAACAGATATATACCATGTACGGTGAAAATGTATTTCGAGTACACACAAAATGAAAACGCTGCCAGTCTTGGCGAATTCAAAACCGTCCACACGCATCGCTCGTAAACACACACAGCTCCTGCGTTTTAAACAAGAGCTCAGTGTTTGTGGTTTTATTTCAATCTAACTACACAATGACAATAAATGATCAGTTTACAACAAACAACGTCGGGACAAAAAGGCAACAAGGTTTTGTAAACATTTAGCCGGTAACATGCGGCCAACGCAATTACATCGGCGACCAACAATACCCCGAGTTGCTGGCTCGCGCCAGAATCAACCGACGAAGCAAAGAATGTCAGCGGCAACATCTTTACCAGACGCTGTCTCGGCACAATCTTAGTTTCCGGTCTAAGGACGATTACTGTCCATACACTCCCGGCCGAACCTCCACCGCAGCAAAAATACAACTGGCGCAAGCGGGCATCGTCAAGTTCCACAAAAACGTGGCGTAAGCACCGACCTCGCCAGTTGAGCGAAACAAACCGTTGACGGACGCCGACTCTGCAGACACTCGGTACCCAGCCTAAGGATGCTTCGTTGCATTTAAAAGTCCATAAAAGAAACAACCGAATCTCCACCGGAAAACAAACGACTAAAAATGATGCGAGTGGGCATTTTACCGTTCCCCAGTTCCCCAAAAAAACACCACCGGCAATCGGCGACGCGATGTCCCCTGTCACGGCGCCGCGGGCTCCCGCCGCTCCCGCGCTGCCTCGTTCACTTTGCCGGTGCAAAACGCGGCCCTGAGAATGTCGCTGCTGAGGCACACGTAGGCGAAGAAGACGAGCACGAGCAGCGACATGATGATGAGGAAGACGCCGATGCTGACGTGCCGCTGCAGGACGACCATGACGAAGCCCAGGAGGCACATGACCAGGATGGAGAGGGCGAAGAGCAGGTGCAGCGTGGAGAAGGTCCGGAGCGAGCGGCGCCTGCTGGCGCCGTCCTCTTGCGGGTATTCAGCGGCGTCGTCGGCGTCGACGGTGAACGTCGTCTCGCACGCACAGGCTTCGACGGGCACCGCCGACGCTACGTCTCGCTCACCGGCCGCTCCACCGATTCCGTCGGCGCCGATTCCGCCCAGCGAGGGCCAGGGCGCCGTGACGGCGACGGGAAACGCGTCTCCGTGGCGTGGCGGCGCGGGGCCCGGCCGAGGAGAAGGGGACGAGCGCGGCGCGGCGTCCCAGCTGGGCAGCGCCACGATGGCGACGCTGAAGGGGCGGACGAGCGAGGCCAGCGAGGGCACGACCGCCGCTGCCGCGTTGTCTCCGGTGCTAACGAGCGCCGGCGCCCAGCGGCAGAAGGGGCAGCTGACGGCGGCCGAGGAGGAGGCGGCGAGCGAGCCGATCCGGCCCAGGCACTCGCCGCAGAGCGCGTGGCCGCACAGCAGGTAGCGCCGCGGGTTGAGCGCCGCGTCGTACGCGACGCAGCAGATCTCGCAGTCCTCGCCACAGCCGCCGTCGCTCTCTCCGCCGCGGGCGCCAGCACCGTGGGGGGCAGCGTTGGGAGCTCCCCGAGCCAGGCTGGAGGCCATTGTCACTCTATACTTTTAAAAAACATCGACGGGGTGTGTGCGGGTACTGCGTGCGCGTCCGTGTGGATTTCGTTTTTTTTATCCTTTCCAATTTCGTTGTTTCTGTCAAGCTGCAATGACCAAAGAGTCGAATGTACACACGTGCGTGCGTCCGTGCGTGCGTGCGTACAAGCCAACTAAACACGAAAACGTGCACAGCTGGCGCGCCGGTTTCTCAGAGTCTGACTGCCTGAAACGCTGGCCCCATTGCGCCTGAGAGGTGGGTCGAGTGCTGTACGTGGTGGGCCTACTTATATCCCGAGCCGGCAGCCGGGCGCGTGACTCGCTAAAGATGCCCTCCCCCCCCCATTCTTTGCCCATTGTCTTAGCCCTCTCCCCACCACCCACAAGCACCCCCACCCCCCTCACCAGGTGATCAGGAGCTAATTCACATGGTAATTACACAGCAAACAAAGTCCGGCTACCACAGGACCAAACTTCATCTGCACGAAACAAACATCTCATTTGTTCTATTTGTGGCACACACCCCCACCCGCTTTTAAAAACAGACACAAACCCTAAAACACACTGAGACTGATATGATATTTGTTGGCGAGTTAAGTATTCACGCACACATCAAAATAGTGAAGACAAATTAACCAACATCCCAAGTGAAGATGCACTTCAAAGCTTCGAGTACAGCTGCTGTGGGTGTGTTTAGCTCATAGACTACGAGGAAGTGGCAGGACTTCGGAAACAAAGAAACATCACGTGAATTTTTTATCTCCCTTTGAAATACACACAGTATCAGGTGGTGAACAAGCACAAATAACAAACACAAAAAACACGTTCGTCAACAATAACAGTGTGGCTTTAAAAGGAAATATATATGACAGGTGAAGACGTTTCAGGCAATGGCCCTTCTAGATAGCACATACGTAGAGAGCAGTTCTAAAATAAATGAGTTTTCTATCTAGATTTAAACGTGCATTGCTCCAGTGGCGTTTTAATGTCGGAAGGAGGAGCGTTTCGCACCTCCAATGAGCACGGTTAGCCAAGAAGTTCAACATACACACGGACATTTCCACTTTGTCTGGAAAAAAGTTGATATAGCTCAGTGGGCATCACCTGGTAAAATAAAACAAACACTGTCGTTCGCGAGCTCGCTGGGTGCGGCCGGACTCACCTCTGTCTCCGGCCTTGGGATGAGGACTGGCGGCCTCATCTTGAGGGTGAGATCCATGAAGTCCCACTGGCCGAGCACGTACTGCACAGGCATGCTGGGGCGCACAGACGGGCACACACAAACACAAAACAGACAACGGACACATTCGGAATCCGGTGCCCTGAGAAGCTCGCGCGGGTGCACGGGGCGAAACGTTGGACATTGTGCAAAACCGGAAGTTCACCGTAGAGCCGATAGCGGGCTGTTGGTGAAAGTGTTGATAGCGAGTACCAGTATCTCGGGACTTAATAATTGCTCGCTACGCGGACACGCACACATCGACTCGCAACGCACGCGGAGGATGTGTAGACGCTCAATTGCATGCACGCAGGCAAGTACTGTTCGCGAGCACCTATGAAGGCCGGCACGGCTCAAGAAGGAGTGGGTGGCCAGCGCCACGCCCGGCCGCCTTTGTCTCCCCAACGGCGATGATTTTACACACCGCACCAAGTACTAATTTGAGGTTGAGTCGATCTAGGAGAGGCCAAGGACCAGGATCAGTTCAGATAATCGTCACTGGTGTTGGCTGTCAATGGGAATCGAACTCGGGTCGCCGGGTTCACAGCGCAGTGCGCTAACCGTTGCACTCCCGTTCCTCAACAGACGTGCACAGACAATCATACAAAAAACACGTACATGCACACATACATGCACACATACATACATGCACACATACATACATGCACACATACATGCACACATACATACACGCATACATACATGCATACATACATGCACACATACATACACGCACACATACACGCATACATACATGCACACATACATACACACACACATACATGCACACATACACGCATACATACATGCACACATACATACACACACACATACATGCACACATACATACACGCACACATACACGCATACATACATGCACACATACATACACACACACATACATGCACACATACATACACACACACATACATGCACACATACGCACACATACACGCACACATACATGCACACATACATACACGCACACATACACGCATACATACATACACACACACATACATGCACACATACATACACACACACATACACGCACACATACACGCACACATACACGCATACATACATGCACACATACACGCATACATACATACACACACACATACATGCACACATACACGCATACATACATGCACACATACATACACACACACATACATGCACACATACATACACGCACACATACACGCATACATACATGCACACATACATACACACACACATACATGCACACATACATACACACACACATACATGCACACATACATACACGCACACATACATGCACACATACATGCACACATACATACACGCACACATACACGCATACATACATACACACACACATACATGCACACATACATACACACACACATACACGCACACATACACGCACACATACACACACACATACATGCACACATACATACACGCACACATACACGCATACATACATACACACACACATACATGCACACATACATACACACACACATACACGCACACATACACGCACACATACACGCATACATACATGCACACATACACGCATACATACATACACACACATACATGCACACATACACGCATACATACATGCACACATACATACACACACACATACATGCACACATACATACACGCACACATACACGCATACATACATGCACACATACATACACACACACATACATGCACACATACATACACACACACATACATGCACACATACATACACGCACACATACATGCACACATACATGCACACATACATACACGCACACATACACGCATACATACATACACACACATACATGCACACATACATACACACACACATACACGCACACATACACGCATACATACATGCATACATACATGCACACATACATACACACACACATACATACATACATGCACACATACATACACACACATACATACATACACGCACACATACACGCATACATACATGCATACATACATGCACACATGCACACACACATACATGCACACATACACGCACACATACACGCATACATACATGCACACATACATGCACACACACATACATGCACACATACACGCATACATACATGCACACATACATGCACACACACATACATGCACACATACATGCACACATACATGCACACACACATACATGCACACATACATGCACGCACACATACATGCACACATACACGCATACATACATGCACACATACATGCACACACACATACATGCACACATACATGCACACATACATGCACACATACATGCACACATACATACACACACACATACACGCACACATACACGCATACATACACACACACACACACGCACACATACATGCACACATACATACACACACACATACACACACACATACATGCACACATACATGCACACATACATACACACATACATACACGCACACATACATACACACACACATGCACACACACATACATGCACACATACATGCACACACACATGCACACACACATACATGCACACATACATGCACACATACATACACACATACATACACGCACACATACATACACACACACATGCACACACACATACATGCACACATACACACACACATACATACACACATACAGACACACATACACACATGCACACACACATGCACACACACACACATACACAGAGTGCATGTTAACAAAGATGAAGGAGTTGGGGGCAAGTGCTGTTCGTGAGCACCTATTAAATACACACAGAATACACAAGCTGACACTACATGAACGGAATACACACACAGTATGCAGCAACAATAGCTGCCATCTTGCCACTAAGTGGTGGTGACTTCACCGCAGCGCTTGTGTCAGGCTAGGTGCACGAGGTCCCATGAAGTGTGAAAGGCTCAGTAGCAGGATACAGAATACAATACCCAGACAGGCAGTACAGAGACAAAGGCCACCCCCCAGAGCCTCAACAGACTGTTAGCGAGTACCTATGAAGGCTGGCATGGCACATGATCGGGTTGGGTGGCCAGCACTACAACAGGCCGCCAGTGGTGATGTTTACACACCGCACCAGGGACTCGTTGTAGCTCACGGGTGCAACTCTCCGGAGCAGTAATGCTACCCACAAACTCGTCCCAATGCGACTCACAAACTCGTCCCAATGCGACTCACAACATCGTCCCTACACCGGGGACCAGGACCATCGCAGCTGGGTGCTGTTTCTCCCGTGGCAGCTCCCGTATCTCTCTCGCCTCCCATCAGCCTGCACGACAGCTCACAGTGGAACTCTCTCCCCAGGGCGACTCACAACCTCCTCCTCTCTACACCGGGCACCAGAACCATCACGGCCGGACGTCGTTTCTTTGTGGCACCACCCTGCCCCCCCCACGTTCCATCTCCACGTACTTTTAATGGACACCTATTTTTTTTTTTGGAACTGCTTTGTGTGTTCAGTCTGTGTGTCCTTCCCCCGCACCTCCGATTAGCACGGTTGGCTACGTGCGGTGCGAAAGAAGTTCAACGTGCATACATACCACATACATTAAAGGCCGGACCTCTTTCGCCTGCTTTCCGAGCAACACCGAGTTTGGCTCCGCACCTTCTGCCACAATCATTTTTATCCATCAATTATTCTGAGAATAGAAAATTGCATCATTATTACTTTGCGAGAGGGGAGACAGAACGTAGTTCCCTGCACCAACCAGCACTGACCGGCGTGGTGAAGTATGGCAACCTTCCCCTGGGGCCCCCATCACCGAAGTGCCTAAACCCCAAGGCTGTTAAAGTTTCACCATGAGGCCCACGTAAACACAATGCAAATTAATCATTGTACAAGTGCTGGCACCGACTTGAATATGCACATAGTTTGCCTGGTGTCTACAGATGGTGTTTACTTCTGGTTATTTTTGCTCTACCGTATATATGTGGCATGTGCTATTTCTATGCTAGAAACTATTTTAAGTTATTGAAAAACATATCCTATCGTGAGCAATCGTGTGTGGGTCTGTGTGTGTGGGGAGCGGTAGTGCAGCGGTTAGCGCCCTGCGCTACAAACCCAGCGACCCGAGTTCGATTCCCGCTCATGGCCAACACCAGTGACGATTATCTGTACCGGTCCTGGGCCTCCTCCAGGTCGACTCAGCCTCAAAATGAGTACCTGGTGCGGTGTGTAAAAATTGCCACTGGGGAGACAAAAGCGGTCGGGCGTGGAGCTGGCCACCCACCCCCTCGTGTACCGTTCCAACCTTCATAGGTGCTCGCTAACAGCACTTGCCTCTACAGTCCGATAAGGATATACGGGGGATCTTAGTCTTGTGTGTGTTCGCGTGTGTGAGAGCAGTATTGTAGCGGTTAGTGCACTGTGTTACAAACCTGACGACCCGAGTTCAAGTTTAGCTCATGACCAACACCAGTGACGATTATCTGAACCGGTCCTGGGGCTCCCCTACGTCGACTCAGGATAAATGAGTACGCGGTGCGGTGCGTAACAACATCAGCACTGTGGATACAAAGGCAGTTCGGGCGTGGTGCTGGCCACCTACTCCCTTGTGTGCCGTGCCGGCCTTCAACGGTGCTATTCGCGAACAGCGCTTGCCCCAACAGTCTAAAGGCTACACGGAGGATCTTTGTGCAGTGGCGCAGTTGGACGTCCTCTCGGACGCGTTCCATTCTTAATGCAGCACAAAGAGTCACCACTCTCGAGTCGTGTGCCTTGCAGGTGGTAGCTGCTAAGAACGGATCGATACGAAATCCCAACGCATGACGGCGATGATGATAATGGATGGCGCTTGCCGGGGATTTTATTGCTTTTTTTTTAAAATAACGCTCAGTCCAAAGTTCCCAATAACCATTTTACATGTCGCACAAACATGCAGCTTTTACGTAATTGGTAATCTCCTTTGGCAATACACAGAGTGCACCTCAAAGTTATTACCACTGCAGCGCAATCAGCAAGCCTGGGCGGGCTAATTCCAGTTGGGGGCTTTACCCCCCCCCACCATTTTCATCCTTCCAGCATTGTTATAAATCAGCGCCCACTTCATGGGAAGTCAATGGTAATCATTCTAAGCGTGTACGCTCGCTCCTGCCAGAGGAATATAGATATATTTATTTTCCCACCACTATGCTCAGGGCTGTGAACACGAGATGAAAACTGCTGTTCCCATGCTCATGATATCAAAGGAAGGCAATGTTACTGTGATTATTAATCGTTTGGGAAGGTGGTGGTGGTGGTAGAGTGGTGAGTGCACTGCACTAAGAAGCCGGTCACCTGACTTCGAATCCTGCCAAAGGTTAACATCAGTGAGATCAGCGCACTTGGCCTGGGCTGCTACTGCTGTGGGTGCTGCTAATGCTGCTACTACTGTTACAACTGAGGATACTACTTCAGCTGCGAATACAGCTACTGCTAATACAACTGCTGCTAATACAGCTGCTGCTAATACAGCTGCTACTGCTGCTAATACAGCTGCTACTGCTGCTGATACAGCTGTTACTGCTGCTGATACAGCTGTTACTGCTGATGCAGCTGCTACTGCTGCTAATACAGCTGTTACTGCTGCTAATACAGCTGTTACTGCTGCTGATACAGCTGCTACTGCTGCTAATACAGCTTCTACTGCTGCTAATACAGCTGCTACTGCTGCTAATACAGCTGTTACTGCTGCTAATACAGCTGTTACTGCTGCTACTGCTGTTGATACAGCTGTTACTGCTGCTGACACAGCTGTTACTGCTGCTAACACAGCTGTTACTGCTGCTAACACAGCTGCTACTGCTAATACAGCTGCTACTGCTGCTAATACAACTGCTACTGCTGCTAATACAGCTGCTACTGCTGCTAATACAGCTGCTACTGCTGCTAATACAGCTGCTACTGCTGCTAATACAGCTGCTACTGCTGCTAATACAGCTGCTACTGCTGCTAACACAGCTGTTACTGCTGCTAACACAGCTGCTACTGCTAATACAGCTGCTACTGCTGCTAATACAGCTGCTACTGCTGCTAATACAACTGCTACTGCTGCTAATACAACTGCTACTGCTGCTAATACAGCTGCTACTGCTGCTAATACAGCTGTTACTGCTGCTAATACAGCTGCTACTGCTGCTAACACAGCTGTTACTGCTGCTAATACAGCTGCTACTGCTGCTAACACAGCTGCTACTGCTGCTAATACAGCTGCTACTGCTGCTAACACAGCTGCTACTGCTGCTGTTACCTCGTGAGACGTCGACGGCAGAGCTCCCCGACCTTCGCTTGCGCCTCCGCCGCGATCGACCGAGTCAGCACGGCCCTGCCCAGGCTCGCCATCTGCGTGACGAGTCACACGCCCCGCGTCAAAAATCTCAACGCCCCTCGGGTTTTATCGGCCAAACACGGCGCAGTCCTGTGAAACAAAACCACCCACCCCCCCCAGTTACGCGTCTCCCCGAACAAATAGAGCACGCGTGTTTTTTTTCGCTTTTCGGACGAGCGGCTTTTTCAGACCATTATTATCCAGCAGCATCTGTTTAAGCCAAATCCGCACCGACTTTGACCGACTGGGTCTCTCTTCCCACGAACGCGTGGTAAGTCGGCAGCATTCGTTTCAACTTCCGATTTGTCTGCTTAGCCAGGGGATAACTCTCGCGGCCACGATAGTCTCGTTTGCAAGAGTGACCCGGCTCACCAGAAAATACAAAATTAATTAAATGAAATAAAACACAACAGTATAATGAAGCAAATTTCAACAAGCGCAATAAAAAAACCCAATTAGAAATCAGGACAAAAACAACCGCGTTACAGGAAAAATAGAAAACACTGCACACAAACATGAACCAAAGTGAAAAGCTAATACATTTTGCCGTGAGGAAAGTCGTCTAAGGGAGGCCCGCCCCTGGGACCGACCGCGAGTGGCGCCAGCCTCACCGTCTTAGCCCCAAGCACGTGCGCGACAATGTAGGCGGCCGACTCCCACGGCTCGGAGATTCCCGCCGCTCGGAATCGTCTGCTCCATGAGCGGACGCAGCCCAGCGCCGTCTCCCTTCTCCCGCATCCTCCCACGTCTTCGCCACGGCCGACAAGGCCGTCACCATCGTCCCCTCCCGCACCCTCGGCCGCCCCGGCTCCAGACGCCCCCCTGGCTCGAGGCGCAGTCGCTGACCGCGCCCGCGTCATTTCACTCTCGATGGGGGGCACAGGACGGCCGGCGCGCGGAGACCAAATCCAGGTCGAGAAGTCTCGCGGAGGCGAGGGCCACCTCGGCCCGGTGAGGCTGCCATGCCCCGATGTTCTGGATCGTGCTGCGCTCCTTTGTCGGGCTGCTGTCCGACCCTGACACCACAGGCCGTCCAGAGATCGTTCTTGGCACGGCCTCTGAAACGGCGTGCCGCTGCCTGTGCTTTCAATGGACCCCGCCGCCAGGGAAATGACGGACGGACCGTCCGGAAAACTTCTGCGGAGGTTTAAATTGTTAAGCGACGGCCGGTGCCAGCCAGGGCACGGTGCTGCGCCCTGCAGTGTGCGTGGGGCGATGCTGATCCAGGTCCGGATCGGTTTCACGATCCGCTTCATTGTTCGTGGTGGTGGTGTCGGTGACAATTCGTGAGTGTTGCAGAATTTTAAGTGCCAGTTTAGTTTTCTTGTTTGATGGTCGGGCAATTTTTCAGCTGAAATGAATGAAATAAAAAAACAGAGGTGAGTGTACAATTTTAAAAAGCTATCCAACATCTGCAGAGTATGATTTATGTGGATAAACAATTTGCAAAACACATGGAATTGTGATGAGAGATGTATTAACATTGCGGGCTTTTATGGACTACAGAAACCACTTTGGTAAAGGTGATAGTTCAACTTCGGTGTTGATAGAGAGGCAGGAGTAATGTCTGTGTCAATATATGGGCCAGATAGCTTAGATGGATTCAACAAAAGCAACCAAAAACACGTTTCTGGTCTTCAAATGTAAGAGCATGTGCAAGAAATTCACGGAAGAATATGGTCAGGATAATATGGAAGTTGTGAATACAACGCGCAAATAAATTATTGTAGATTTAATGAGAGGAAGACGTTAGCAATGGGTGATGCACGTGTGCAGATTGGAGGAGGGCAGAGTTTCTATACAGGCATCGTAGAGCAACCCAGAGGTCGGTGAGACGTAACGCCAGATGGTTAGTAGACCGTAAGAGCAGACCTTGACATTTCAGTTGTGAATCAACGTTGCACAAACTGCAGGATCTGGAAAAAGATTTAATAAAAAAAATAGGACCGCACCACCCCAACTAGGCCAATGACGCAAACATGCAAACGTGACCCATTAATACCGAGCCGCCGGGGTTGCGACTGCCAACGCACATAGCGGGGGACACAAAGACAAAGATCCCCCGTAAAGCCTTAACAGACTGTTAGGGCAAGTGCTGCTAGCGAGCACCTATGACGGCTGGAACAGCACACGAGGGGGGACTGGCCAACACCACGCCCGGCCGCCTTTGTCTCCCTAGTGGCAATGTTTACACTTCACACAAAGTACTCATTTGTGGCTGAGTCGACCTAGGGGAGGCCTAGGACCAGTTCAGATAATCGTCACTGGTGTTGGCCGTGAGCGGGAATCTAACCCGGGTCGCAGGGTTCGTAGCGCAGTGCGAAAACCACTACACTACCAGCGGGGTACACACGCGCGTGCACCCGCGCACGCGCGCCACCTTTATTCCCACATGCCCGAGAAGCAAACGGTGAAAACGAAGCAGGGCCCTGCAACTTTGAGCGCACGCAGGGAATTCCTCCACGATGAATATACTTCATTAGTAGATCTCAAGAAGGCAGCCCAGTCCATCCAGCTCATTAGTCACGGGAGCAGGAATTTGCCACAAAATAACCCAATTATACTAATAGGGGTCAGGGGTAACTACAGAAGACAATTTGGATTTATGAATTGTCTAAATGTGACCGCATCTCAAGATGCTGCATAGGGCGGAGGGAGGGGGGATGTGCATTCATGGGGGTCTTCGAATGGAGGTATTTTTGTATTTTTTGGTGGTGTGGGGACCCACTGCTCATGGCGGAGTGCGAAGGAGATGGACGTGTGGTAAAGGTGTGGATGAAAATACTGAAACGTGAATATAGGGCAAAATAAAGTAATTCCTGGGAAGAGGAATAACACTGCCCCTGATGTGATTCATTTTCACCTTGATGAAATCTTTCAGCAAAAAAAAGGCCAGAATCTTCACACCAATTAAAGGATTCACAGTTCACACTTTTTGAACTAGGTTACGAGGCTGAAGTTTCTTCAATTAATTGAAAAGGTTTAATTGGTGTTATGGCTGTAACGCAAGGTTAAACTGGGAGAGTTGGCGAGCAGCCACTGATCCCGACCCTGACAATAGCTGTCGGGGACCACGTGGTAAACAGGCTGCCGATGAGACCCAGGAGATCAAAACCAGTACAGAGTTTGCGTTTCTGAACAAACACTGTAATGCATCGCTGGTCGGAAAAACTCATTGGTTGGTGGATTCAAAATTTTCCTCCGCTCACCCCATCGTCTGAAACTGCCATCCCCCAAACAGAATCACAATATTTATGTACACCGGAGGAATTTGATGAGCTCTTAAGATAACTTCCACAGATGTCCTGGAGGACAGCGGTCCCCAACCTTTTTGGCACCAGCGACCGGTTTCGTGGAAGACAATTTTTTCACGGACCGGGGGGTGGGGGTTCATCATTGGGTCACTTTTCAAAGAAGCTCTCCGGCAACGTTTGTTTTTTTTACTAATTTTGGCTAGGGGTTAGCAGCTTGTGGGCTCACCAACACTGTGACTGAGACAAGTGCGCGGTGCGGGAAAGAAGCACGGACGGAAGTGGTCAATAAAACGATGGGCGGGCCACGCGCGTACTCACCGCTCACCACTATGCGGTGTGTAGAGTGTGTACACACGCGGACTCACCGCTCTCACCTCCTGCTGCTGTGCGGCCCGGTTCCTAACAGGCCACGGACTGGTGCCGGTCCACGGCCTGGGGGTTGGGGACCTCTGCTCAACTCCCTGCTCCTGTTCAAGCTATAAGCTAGACCATAATCTTATCCTCTGTCTATGACTAACCGCCTTTTCTTTATATATTTCATTACATATACCTACTGTTTCTGTGCCACGCCTTGAGCATGTGGTCGCATTCAGACGTAATATGAATCCAACTTGTATTTTATGCACGAGACAATGCATGAAATATTAATGAGGAAGACATCGATTTTGCCCCCTGTAATCACGTTATTGTCCAAAATAAATTAATGATCACAGCCACATTCAGCAGCACAGCCACACAAAGCATGCGATCTATTAACCTGCACCGAAATCTGTCATCGCATACAAATGCAATGCTACGGCAGAATAAATATCGGCACGTGTTTCACACGGAGTCTTGTATATACGGGATCTCTATATATATTAATGGCTCTCATCTGTCAATACCCACTCATCTGTGAATAGCCTAGCAGCTGTTATTGGGAACAAGTCCCAGCAGGGATTCTTTGGGAACTCAACTTCCAATTACACTCACCTACCCATGTTGTTTCTCACCCGTCACTGTGAGCTCATTTGTAAACAGCCACTCACCTGGGTAGTTCCGATGATTTTGGATGCTGAAATTCAGAGACCTTTCAGATGTGGTTAATCGCGGGTATAATCACTGAGTTTTTCTTTTTACTGGTGCATGGTATGTCAACCAACTTATCCACGTTTCTGTTGACATGTGGCTCAGCGGTACAGACGGCTCAGCCGCAGAACGAGCGGCTTGCAATGGGGAGGTTGCGAGTTCATATTCTCATAGGTGGTTATTTAACTCAATCCCATCATCTCTCCACGGCCGATAAAATTAATACCGCTTTGTGAAGTCAGCAATGATGGCCTAAGGGGCCGTCCATAAATGACGTCACACATTTGGGGGGGGGGGTCAGACATTTGTGACGATGTGTGGCGAGGGGAGGAGGGAGGGTTCGAGAAATGTGACGTCACATCAAAATGCGCAAGTTTAAATAGATATAAATTAAATAGGATTGTTATAACAACACAAAATTTCATTTTAACTATTTGATTATTTAAATTTACAAAGGTCACCTTTCATTTATTCCATGAAGGAGCATTTTGCTTCTCCATGGGAGAATGGAGAATCATACAATTAGTAATTTATTTGAATGATTGTTATTAAACATTTTTATTCTAATGATTATATCAGGCTTTTCATTCTGTGAAATGAATATGTGATTGTTATAATTGTACTCTCCATTTTGCTTCGTTCTACTACAAAGTTTAAAGTATTTTTTATAGTTATAATTACTTTAAATATTTGATATTTATTAGAAAATTTCAATATAATATTCTGAACATCTGCAGTTTTAGTTAGACGCTGAATATTTTCAAGTGAATTTTATGCTAAATTTCAGCTTCCCAACGATTCCTTTTTAATGTTTTCTCCTACAACATCAGAGTGCAGCGCCACATTAAATACGCACTACAATGACAATAGTTTAAAGTGATTTGAAGCATGTTTTATTTTTAAAATGGAAATATGGTTGGGGGGGGGGCAGAGCTTTGTGACGTCATATTTGAGCGGGGGGTCTGACTTTTTGTGACGCCATGTGACGAGGGGGGGTCAAAAATCGGTCAAAATCGCGTGACGTCATTTATGGTCGGCCCCTAATGATAAGTCTCGTCCCCAGCATAGCAATGTGCAATTTCCACCACTGGCTCAGGGCTGTAAACAGAAGATAAGCACCGTCTGTCTGGATACTCATTTATGCAGGAAATCACTGACTTTAATCATTCATGGTGATAAAAACTACAGTAAAACCTTGGATTGCGAGCAAAATTCGTATATCAAAGCACTCGAATATCAGTTGTGATCACGTGACGCTCGGCAGACAAAGCGTATACACGTACTACTCGTATTGCAAGACCTCGCTCGTTTATCAAATTAATATTTATTTTAAAAAAATGCTCGTCTTGCAAAACACTCGCAGACCAAGTTACTCGCAATCCAAGGTTTTACTGTGTCTTTATTTTACCAGGTAAGGCCCACTGAGCTATAGTTATGTTTTCAGAAGCGACCTGGCCACAAATGATGGCTCAACGAAGTGGTTTATCATGTAGAAAATGACAGCAGCTAAATCCTCTAAAGGCATGTTTCTAAATGTGGAGGGAAACCCCGAGGACCCGGAGAAAAATTCACCTGACCACGGCGACATAGACACGCAAACTCCAAATGTACAGGTGTCAGGGTTGGGATGGAACCCACGAACTCCTGTATACCAGGCAAGGCAGATAATTTCTCGTGCAATAGTACGTACGTAGCATGGTGCAATAGTACGTGCCAAAAGATTGACTTATTCCATAAATAACAAAAACTATTTTATCCAGACGACTTTAAAAATGACAGACCGTGCGGTCAGACGTCCACTCAGGACAATAATCATCCCTCCGGAGTCTATAAATAAAGTGGCACTTCGAGACAATACACATCACTCAACGCGGCGCACCGTGGGGAAATATCCGACTCCCGTTATAGGAATGTGGAATTTCCACCAGTGGTCCAGAAACCTCAGCGCTGTCCTGCGTGACTTGAAATTCAGCGGGTTTAGGCCACCATAAGAACCCATTCAGCGCCGTTCAAAAAATACAATATATACAACAGCCGCGCACCTCGAAGTGGCGGTGACGTCACCACGGCGCTTGTGCCATGCTGGGTGCACTTTTGAGGCCACGTGAGGAGTCGAAGGGCTGCGCTGGCAAAGGAGGTCACGGCAACAGGCGCAGCAAGGTGCCAACGGGGGGTGATGGTCGACTGACCGAGACGACTTGGCATCGATGCACCACGCCGCACTGTCTCCGATCCGTCCGCTTGTCACGCACGTGGCCTGCCCCCCCTCTCCCACGCACGTGGCCTGCCCCCCCTCTCCCACGCACGTGGCCTGCCCCCCCTCTCCCACGCACGTGACCTGCCCCCCCTCTCCCACGCACGTGGCCTGCCCCCCCTCTCCCACGCACGTGGCCTGCCCCCCCTCTCCCACGCACGTGACCTGCCCCCCCTCTCCCACGCACGTGACCTGCCCCCCCTCTCCCACGCACGTGACCTGCCCCCCCCTCTCCCACGCACGTGGCCTGTCCCCCCTCTACCACGCACGTGACCTGCCCCCCCCTCTCCCACGCACGTGACCTGCCCCCCCTCTCCCACGCACGTGACCTGCCCCCCCTCTCCCACGCACGTGACCTGCCCCCCCTCTCCCACGCACGTGACCTGCCCCCCCTCTCCCACGCACGTGACCTGCCCCCCCCTCTCCCACGCACGTGGCCTGTCCCCCCTCTCCCACGCACGTGACGTGCCCCCCCTCTACCACGCACGTGACCTGCCCCCCCTCTCCCACGCACGTGACCTCCCCCCCCTCTCCCACGCACGTGACCTGCCCCCCCTCTCCCACGCACGTGGCCTGCCCCCCCTCTCCCACGCACGTGACCTGCCCCCCCTCTCCCACGCACGTGACCTGCCCCCCCCTCTCCCACGCACGTGACCTGCCCCCCCTCTCCCACGCACGTGACCTGCCCCCCCTCTCCCACGCATGTGACCTGCCCCCCCCTCTCCCACGCACGTGACCTGTCCCCCTCTCTCACGCACGTGACCTGCCCCCCCCTCTCCCACGCACGTGGCCTGCCCCCCCTCTCCCACGCACGTGACCTGCCCCCCCCTCTCTCACGCACGTGACCTGCCCACGCACGTGGCCTGTCCCCCTTCTACCACGCACGTGGTGACGATGCGCGATCAGCAGCTGTTCGTGACATCCGGTTGGTGCGTCACATCCGCCCCCCGCTGTCACCTTCCGCCGACGCCCCCCCCCACGTGGTGGCCATGTGCGCCGATTGGGAGTCGCAGGCGCTGGGTGCCATCGCTCCCGTTCTGTTGCTGCTCTTTGTGTTGTTGGTGGTCGCGACGCAATACACGTTCACAGGTAACCCCACGTTACCCCACGTTACCCCACCCCCCTCCCTCCCTTCCTGCCTCCCGCCGTCTGCTTCCGCTTAAGAAGCGGGTCCGCCCATCGCCCGCCAAGTGAAAGCCCAACGCTTTGGCCAACGGGATCCAAACACGCGTGTGTTATACAGCACTGTAGGGGGCACATGTGGGTGCATGGGCCAGTCATCTCAGTCATCTCAGTCGGTCGACCCGTGTGGCACCGGGGTCTCGCCCCGAGACCTCCCGCCGGCGGGCGTTCGACACTTCACGTGGCCTCAACGTGCACCTAGCCTGGCACAAGCGCCGCGGTTGTTGTGTTGAACTTCTATCTCACCGTACGTGACCAACCGTGCTGATCGGAGTTACGCGGGGGAAGGACGACTGACTAATGCTGCACATGTTGTTTGACTCGCTACAGTGGGCACGCAAGGCATGAAGCTTTTGAGTTGGTCACCGGTGGTGATTTCGCTTGTTGCTGTTCGAGACGGCCCTGCTACATTGAATACCCCGGCAGCATTTTTTTCCATGTCCACGCGCAATGATTTGGACCAACACCTGCTCGCCCCGTGCGTTCGCATCTTCTAGTCCGCTCTCAAGCCCCGTCGCTTTTCCAGGGTTCCGTGCCACCAAACTCCATCGTGTGTTGCCTCCGAAACGTCGTGATTTTTATTTTATTTTACTTTTATTAATTTTTATTTTTTACCTACGTGACTTTACCGAAAAAACCTAAGAATATAAATCCTTGCAGTCACGAAAGCTTCAAATCTAGAATCCATCTTCCCACTTTGTGGCCATGTGCTTCCCAATCTCAGTCTTTCTCTCTCCCTTAAAACGTGCTAACGTTGAACCAACGTTTCATATTTACGGTCATCTCCAAACTCAAAACATCGTGTCACTCGGTGTTCTCCCATCCCCCCCCCCGCAGATAACAATATCACTTAATAGAGATACTGTATATTCTTTATAACCTCCTGAGAGCTTTTCACGGCAACATGAGGCTTTAATGCGAGACCATAGGTTGCTGCTTACCTTCCTTAGAATACAAAACAAGTGCACGTTTAATATTAATGCATAATTGCACTAACTTATGCAATGGGGAACAGGACTAATCTTAAATTATCTTAAATGAGCTGCACACACTTGAGTGGAGAGAAACCCTTAGCCCAGAAAGTCTCTCGAATTTCAAAGTGCTCCTGAATAGCGCGACCCAGGGGCATGCTAACAGGCCTGATTCTCACCTCCAATGAGCACGATTGGCTGCTACGTACGGTGGCAAAGAAGTTTAACACAGACAACATTTGTCTGCTCAAGTAAATGTTGCCGCAAGACAGCGGCTTTGAACGCCGATCGGCTGATGGACAAACGCGTTATTATATTTTTTTGTAGTGGCAGACGCTTGCCTAATTATTAATTTATACAATCGTCAACAATGACAGACTGTATTTAATTACGTATAATCAAGTAAGAACCGATTGTCCTGGCTCACAAAAGCAAATACTCTAAAGCAGTGGCTCTTCTTCTGCTTAACCTGGGCTGCATCACGCACCGCCTGGGCGTACGAGATGTCCTTTCTGGGGGTGCGAGACAGGGCCAGACTTTTGTAAGAAGGTAAATAATCGAAAACACAAACTAAGCATGGGCATGTAAATACAGTTTCATCAAACCATATGTATTTATTAACATTGTACTTTTTTAACGAATTAAAATCAAAGGGATGCAAGGCTGCAGTAAATGTTATGTTGAGCTTATTTCGCACCGTACGTAGCCATCCGTGCTAATTGGAGGTACAAACGGTACAATAATTGCAACAACAAAAAACGTAAACATATCAAGGGCTTCATAAATTGGGTCGTGAACAAGACTTGCTTTCTTACCAATGCCGATATTTCTCTGAGAATGCAAAAAAAGCCAAAATCGCACATTCATATGGCAAAAATCCACTTTTGGCTTTCTAATAATTGGCGCTCATTCTGCTGGCGCTTGACAACATCGTACGTTGCCATTGGCAGAGATGTTTTCACTTGTGCACTGACCATTGAATCATTAATTGTGAGCGGTGTGTTATGCAGTTATCATTAGGCACCATTTCAAATATTAACGAACGTTTTCTAGTCCTTAGGCCCACTGGCCTTCCAGGACCAATGTGTTCCCAATGTGTTCCCAGCAGAATTTATTTAAGCAGGCAAATGCTGTGTTTAGTGAACAGTTAAATGCTGCTGGGTAGCCCATGTCTATGCATGCAGGAGCACTTTGCAAATTGTGAGAATTTCCACTCAAGTGTGTACAGCTCGTTTGAAATGAGCTTTGCCTCATTGCATAACTCGATCTTGTGCTTGAGCTGCACTGATTACGAGGTCACCGTTTGCCATCTACTGGGGAAATTGAAGACTTTCACCATATCCAAACAAGTAAAAGTAGGAGCAATTGTTCCACTTGTATGGATGTAAAAAATAAATCACCTCTCATTCACTGGTTCTGAAATACATTTAAAAAACCTAACATTAAAATGTTAACATTAAAAATATTTGACCGTGCCAATTATTTTTGGTAATTAAAATTTTTTACACCATCAAATTTTATGGATTGGTTCATTTAATGAGGAAAATAAAATGCCTCATGCAAAATAGTTTTCATGAAAATGAATAATGTACAGACCTTTTTAAATCCTCTATTGTATGACAATATCCCCATGCTTTGTTGGTTGTGGGGATGGTTTGACCATAATTCACGACACTCGGTCATTTGCGAGTTGATGAAGCAGAGGGACTGATTCACATAGGAATTCCCACTGAGATTCACCGTGGCTGGGAATTGAACCTGGTTCTCTGGGTTCATCGGGCAATGCGTTTTGGGAAAACAGGAATGCAAAAATACCGAGGCCAAAATATTAAACAAAACTGAAAAGTCTTCGTGCCAAATAACCTCAGAGCTGTGCTTTGAGAACATGAATATTGTCATGGTCATGTGGTTAAAAAAAAAAACCCATGCTCGCCTTCACTCGTCCATGTGATCAAGTTCATCATCACACACTGACACATTCTTCAGAATGTGTCGGTCAAGTGCACTGTATTCCCGGTAGTAATAATGAAGTCTTGCTTGGAAAAATAACATGATCGTAAAACATTTGAACACTTGTTCGTTTAAATTTAGATGTTGTTTATGTTACTGTTACACATGGGAGGAATAATGATGATACGTCAATGGCATCTTCGATTCCTAAGCTTAGCACACGTGCATTGCATTAAATGTTTACAATCAGTACATGTGTAATAAATGGACTCGGACACTTCCTTCTGTCTTCGTGTCTTTTATTGGGTTCTCGTCTTCACCCACACGGCACTCTGTTATAACTCTGTATTTGTAGCCCCCGGCTATTCACTGCTATTATAGCTTCTTCTTCCCTCTGACTCTCTGCTTCATCTACTGTAACCTCCTCCCTGCAGACTCGCTGCCACCTCTATGCAGACTCCCGCTGCCACCCCTATGTGCAGACCCTCTGGCTGCTACCGTATGCAGACCCGCTGCTGACTCTGTATGCAGCCCCGCTGCTGACTCTCTGTGCAGCCCCGCTGCTGACTGCAGCCTCCTCGCTGCTTCGGGTCGGTCACCGCTGGCCAACGGTGCCGATCCTCGCTCCCCCGTGTTCGTGGCGATCTCGCCACCCTCCGCTTCGCCCTTCGTGGCCTCTCTCTGTTCCTGGTTCCCCGTCACTCCCCGTCCTCTTCCGGTTCCCCTCCTTCTATAGCCTAACCCCTCACCCCCCCACGTGACCTAACTCCTCCCCTCCTGACGTCACCTCCGGAGGGCCGTTTACGCCCGCATTACATCACCCTCCCCCATAAAGAAAATCCAGCCGACCTCGGCTGAATTGCAACCTGACAAGAAATGCGGGTGTAAAGGGCCAACACGTAAAAAGACACGAAGCATGCAACAACAATATAACCAGAACACAACACAATACAATTTCAACGAAACGTGAGGGATTTCGAGCGAGTACGGGCAGCCGGGCCGTCCCGGACGGTCGGCAGACCACCCGCCGAGCGGGAACGTGGAAGGGTTTTAGGGGCGACGGGCGCAAGTTTTTCCGTCGCCATTGGAGGCCCGCCACCGTCCCGCTCGCGTCCAGAGACATCCCGTACTCGCATCTGCGGAGGGATAGGAAGAGCTGCAGGTCCCGTGGGTTCTGCGGCTCCAGTCGACGTCCCACGAGCGGAACGTCCTCCTCCCTGCGCTGTCACGGCCGGCTTGTCTGTGAAGGGTACGACAGGCGCTCTCGCAAGGTCAGCAGACACAGGCAAGGGCGAGTCGGCAGCAACAGACCCCGGCAAGGCAACTTCGGGAGATGACGCATCCGGCCGCGGGGCAATGTATGGCTTCAACCGGGATGTATGCACGAACCAGCGCCGTGAACCAACCTGAACACGCGCCGACTGTGGGTTGGGAACCTCAATGAGGCGGACCGGACCCTGCCAAGGTCTATGTAATTTAGGAGAGGTACCTGGCCGCACCTGTGGGCAATGAAGCCAGGCCAGGTCCCCCTTTTTCCAGGGGCACTCCCCCTTTGATCGTCGGGCACACCGCTCATTCCTGGCCTGAGCCTTGGCAGTAGCCATGCGGGCACTTTCCCTCGCCTCAGCGACACGCCGAACTTTGTCCTTAATATACTCAGGAAGAGGCTTAACAGGCCCCCTCGCGCCGGTTCCCAATTGTTCATTAATCGGCGGCACATTCTCACGGCCGTACATAAGGAAGAACGGCGAGTATCCAGTAGCCGCGTGCGGCGTCATGCGATACGCCGAAAGCACCCCAGGGATATGCAAATCCCAATCAGATTGATTTTCCCCGACTGTATGGCACAGCATGGCGGACAGAGTCCGATTCAACCGTTCCACCATACCATCCGTTTGCGGGTGGTAGGGGGACGTCCGTATCTTTTTAGTTCCAAGAGCCGCACACACCTCCCCCAACAATTTGGACGAAAAGTTACGTCCTTGA